ATGTGAAAACTGGATCAGAGTAAATCTGTGAAAATTGGATCAGAGAAAATTTGTGAAAACTAGATCAATGTAAATTTGTGAAAACTGGATTGGAGTAAATCTGCAAAAACTGGACCAAAGTAAATCTGTGAAAATATGGATCAAAGTAAATCTATGAAAACTGGATCAAAGTAAATTTGCGAAAACTGGATCAAAGTGAATCTGCGAAAAACTGGATCAAAGTAAATGTATGAAAATTGGATCAGAGTAAATCTGCAAAAATTAGATTAGAGTAAATCTACAAAAACTAGATCAGGGTAAATCTGCGAAAATTGGATCAGAGTAAATTTGTGAAAGCTGGATTAGGGTGAATCTGCCTAAATTGGATCAAAGTAAATCTGCGAAAAACTAGATAAGGGTAAATCTGCAAAAATCGGATTAGAGTAAATCTACGAAAATTGGACCAAAGTAAATTTGCAAAAACTGGATCAGGGTAAATTTGTGAAAACTGGATCTGAGTAAATTTGCGAAAACTGGATTAGGGTAAAGCTGTGAAAACTGGGTCAAAGTAAATTTGTGAAAACTAGATCAGGGTAAATATGCAAAAACTAGATCTGAGTAAATCGACGATAACTGGATCTGAGTAAATCGACAAAAACTAGATTAGAGTAAATATGCCAAAACTGGACCAGGGTAAATCTGCGAAAACTGGATCAAAGTAAATATGCGAAAACTGGAGCAGAGTAAATCTATGAAAAATAGATCAAAGTAATCTACGAAAACTGGATCATGGTAAATCTATGAAAACTGGATCATGGTAAATTTACGAAAACTAGATCAGAGTAAGGCCATGTTTGATGATTATGTACTTGTTAAAAGAAGTACTTGTAAAACAAGTACTTGAAGTACTTATTTTAACAACTACTTAAGGCTGTTTGGTAACGCACTTTTCAAATCACTTATTATGTTTTTAAGCACTTATTGGGGTGGGAATGTTTGGTAAGCTACTTTCCCCATAAGTGCTTATATTGATGTAAATGACAATTTTAACCCTTACTTCACTCATACATATATACAATGCTTTTCACATGTTATACTATACATTTCATCTGAGAGCGACCCCACTTCATGACAACTAGGAGCCCACATGGACCCACACGTGAATCGCCATGTGGACTCAATTAATAACAATAATAATAATAATCATAATAGTAATAAATAATCACAATAATAATAAAACAATAGTAATAAATAATAAATAATAAATAATAATTATAAATAATAATAATTATTTGGCACTTCACCGAAACCCTAACCCTAAAATTCATTCTTGCATTATGCAAGTCCCTGAATTTTTATACATGTCAACCAATGCATTAAAGACAAACTGATTTGGTTTGATATTGCTACAATTTATAAGATTATGGATTTCTTTTCCATAATCCAAAGAACCCATTTGTGCACAAGCTGATAATGCACTTGCTACAGTAACTTCATCCGGCTTAAATCCCTCAGCTTGCGTCTTAGTGAGAGCCTTCAGAGCTTCTTCGCAATATCCATTCTGTGCATATCCAGCAATCAATGAATTCCATTTCACCAAATTCTTGACTGGAATGCAATCAAAGATCTCTCTCGCCTCCTTGACGTTACCCTTCTTGCAGTAGCTAGCAATTATTGACGACCAGGAATAGTAGTTCCGCTGTGGCATCTCCTCAAATAGCTACCTTGCCGTCTCCAATTGCCCAATCCTCACATATCCATCGATCATCACAGCCCATGTCACCACATTCCTCATCTCATGTGGAGAGCAATCGAATAAATGCCTAGCAGCAACAATATCCCCATTCCTTGCAAATCCATCAATCATCTCTGCCCATGTAACTTCCGTCTTCTCTAGCATCCGTTCAAAACTAAATGATGCAGAACCCATGTCACCATTCCTTGAATACCCACCTATCATTGCATTCTATGTTACCATATTCCTATCGGGCATTTCGTCAAATACCTTGCGGGAACCAACTATATCGCGGCATTTAGAATACATGCTAACCAATGAAGTCCCTATCCCCACATCTGAATCCACCCCAATTGTGATCGACTCAGCATGGAAAGCTTTCCCGGCAGAGACCCACAAGCCTTGAGTAGTAGAGGAATAACACCATAATGGTGGATTCCTTTGCGGTGAATTTGGATGTAAAGAAGAAGAGCTTCTTCYGGGGCTCCTTGAGAGAGGTACTTTTTTATGAGATGAGACCAAGATCCATGAGTTGGAGCCATCATGAACTCTCCTTTCTGACTTCCAACCTCCTCTCCCTCTCTGTCGATTGTCGTTCACCACTAGAGCTAGTTATGTCTTTCGATTYGTCCAAGACAGAAAAGAAACTAGAGAATATTCTTTGAAGACAGGTGCGAGGGACAATCGTTCTGGCTGAGTTCGGCACTATCTCTGGGAACACAAGCGCTATTGCACGAAGGATCATGGAGAAATTGTCGTCTGAAGCTGATACGAGACTCTGTTTCTCGCAAAATCGGTATATATTTCACATATTGAGATTGGATGATCTCACCTTTCTATGCATGGCGAACGACACCAGCGGATGGTGAATAGGGTCCATCACTGATCGTCACCGGTGGACCTACAACTGGTGCGCCGCTACTTGGGTTTAAGTTTTGAATGAATGGAGGAGGTATAATCCTCGTGGGGGTATTTTAGGCATTATAAAGAATTATCAGGGACTGATTCGACCCATTTTTTTGGAGAAGTACTTCAAGAAGTACTTAAAAAAGGCCAACTTGAAGTCACTTTTTTAAATAAGTACTTCTTTAATAAAAAGTACTTCTTCCCCACTTTTTTACCAAACACCCATAAGTACTTAAAAAGCACTTAATGTGTGATCCCATGTCTTAAAAGAAGTACTTGTTAAAAGAAGTACTTCTTTTAAGTGTTCTCAAACACTACCTAAATCTGCGAAAACTAGATCCGGGTAAATCTGTGAAAACTAGTTCAATGTAAATCTACGAAAACTAGATCAGGGTAAATCTGCGAAAATTGGATCACAATAAATATGTGAAAACAGGATTAGGGTAAATCTACGAAAACTGCATSAGGGTAAATCTGCAAAAACTGTATCAGAGTAAATCTATGAAAACTAGATCAAAGCAAATCTACAAAAACTAGTGATGAGAATGAAAATTATTATAATTTTATCCCTTAATATTCAGTCTTTTATACTTATTTAGTGCCTAAATGGACTCATTATTCTTATATTTTGATTTAGGACACGAAAGGAGGCGTTAAGTGAAAAACAAGGCTAATCGGGTAATTCTGGATAGTTTTGGCACTGCATCGTAATTTGGGTATAACTCTCTCATCCGTACTCCGATTGAGATGATTCAAGATGCGTTGGAAAGATAAGCAAAAATTCTACAAATTTCATGTTCTGAGTTTTGATAGATGCTGGAGCCATTCCTTAGCCTGCAAGTTTTCATTCGGGAATTCACCACTCTCCCGCTTGTACGAGAACTTGATTTTTGAACCCTTTCTTGATGAGTCAGACTTGGAGACTGTTATCTAGTGAAATTTTAGGAGATTTTGTCCAAAATCAAGCAAAAACTTTGCAAAATCAAGCAAAATCTTTGCAAAAGATTCAAATTAAACACAACTATGCTCGGTTCACTATGTTAATTACAGGAGTCTCACTAATGCACTGCCCATGTTTTAATTAAGATCACACAAGTCAACTAAATCCAGGATAAATCACCAACTCACAATGTAAATTCAAGAAAATTCAAGAGACATCAATATGAGTATATGAACACTTTATAAATGCTTCATAATAAGCAACTCAGCTAGATTGTCAACAAAAGAATATACAACTGCAAATTCAAGTACCATGGATTTTACCAATGAAATAGCATAGAGTCACCAACCAACACATGAGATCTTGAAGGTCAGCCTTTTTCTCTTGTTTTTTTTTTCGCAAGAACCCCCACACTTAAGCTTTTCAACACACCACTTGTGGGGCATTTTATTCTTTCCTAAGTTATTAATATGCCTTTTGACGCAAATACAAACGTGGGTAACAAATGCACCTGGTTACTCAACATATAATATACTTAGAATGCTTTGCATACTTTTATTCTTATTCGCCGTTTTACGCGAAAATCGACATTTGTGATGATGATTCCTGGTTACTAAGCAACCAAAAACATTGGAGTAGACACATTTTAATTTAATTGACCTTAACTCATGTCTCTGAAGTAAATAATTTGACTTCCATTACAGTTACAATCAATAGCATCCAAAGGAGTAAATGTAACTTCATTCATTAGCTACCTTGCTAAACTACCCATTAATCCGCATCTCAAAAGTATCATACACACCAAATTGACTTCCTAAATTTATGCCCTTTACACTACAACTTAGTAAATTCACCCTAAATTCTTTTAACTTGATACGTCCTAAAAATAGCATGAGTAGCATTCTTTCATTGACTCTAAAAAAGATAAACACTATTAGTACCAAGCATAGCTCACACAATTTTTGCAAAAATTTTGCTTTGCCTAGAACAGAGAAATTCAAAAGAAAAGACTACTGCAATTAATAAAGAAAAACTGTTGCTATTAATAAAACATCACACCTAATCACCCCACACATTTAACATGAACATTTCCCTCAATGTTCATAGAGATAGAATGTGAAGATGAATTCAGCAATGAGGGTAGTGGGACTTCAAGTAATTGAAGGGGTTTAGAGAACTTCCCTGAAGAGCATTCTGAAATCTGGAATGGCTCCTTTTGTTTGGACCCTCTAGCTTCTAAGAACCAAAAGAAACTAGGAGGATAGAATGATAAACACTCAGAAAGATCAGCAATCCACAAAATTAACATCCTAGAAAAGAAACTCGAATGATACGAAAAAGAAAAGCATAAAACAAATAAAAATAAGAACTACTTATCAACATTGGGTTGCTTCCCAATAAGCGCTTGTTTTCCGTCTAAAGCTCGACGTTGCAGTTGGATCAATGAACATCTAGGTACACAGTTGGTGGGGTAGGCAATTCTCCATCCACTACATATGGTTTGAGGTGCTGAACATTGACATCTTTAAAATCTTGTTCTACCTCACTAACTTGACATATTTCTTTCACACATGAATCGATCACATCAATTCTCATGCAAAGTTCTTCCTCCATAGGATGCTTCATAGCCTTGGACATGTTAAACTCCACTTTGTCATCACCAATTCGAAGGGTCAGCTTTCCTTCATTCACATCAACCAAGGCTTTCCCTATGTTTAGAAACGGTCTGCCAAGGATCAAGGTGCAATCACGATCCTTCTCAAAATTGAGCACAACAAAGCCCACAAGAAATATAAACTTGCCCACTTTCACAAGTACATCCTCAATCACGCCATGAGGTTTCTTGATGGAATGATCCGCCAGTTGCAAAGTCATCAAGGTAGGTTTCACTTCTCACAGGCCAAGTTTCCTGAAAATAGACAAAGGCATCAAATTAATGCTAGCACCTAAATCACACAAACACTTAGGAATTGTAAAACTCCCTGGGTCTTTCAATTTGGTAGGCTTCTTGCTGGTGATGATTGAACTGCACTTTTCAGTCAATGGGACAGTTTGGTCATCCTCCCATCTTCTCTTATTATTGATGATCTCCTTAAAAATTTAGCATATTGAGGCATCTGGGCAAGAGCCTCAGCAAAAGGAATATTGATTTACAGCTTCTTAAAAATGTTCAAAAATTTGGAAAATTACTGTTCAATCTGTTGCTTCTTTAGTCTTTGAGGAAAAGGGATTCGTGTGACATAGGGTGAAGGTTGGGCATTAGAGTGATTCTCCTTGTCACCTTGGTTCCCCTCAGACTTATCACTGGTTTCTTCATCATAGATTTCAGCATTGGTTGATGGAGGACTCTCGACATCTGTACCTGCCCTCTTACTTTGCACATCTTGCTTTGGCTCCAACACTTTCCCACTCCTTAGTGAAATTGCTTTGAGCTGCTCCCTTGGATTTGTCTCAGTGTTGCTTGGTAAATTGTCTTGGTTCCTAGCCAAAACAGCATTGGCTAGTTGGCCTATCTGCACCTCCAAGTTGTGAACTAAAGACGAATGGTTCTTTGCAATTTGATCAAATTTAGCTTCCATCCTTCTCTGGGCCTCATCTTGGCTGCTCATCTTACTACTCATCATGTCCATGAATTTATCCAGCTTGGCTTCAAAAGAAGCTGATCTATCCTACTGAGGATGTGGATGGAATCCTGGTGGTCCTTGCTGTCTAGGCATGTTGTTGTTTTGGAAACTGGAACTGCCTGCATTGTTGTTATTGCTACTCCATGAAAAATTTGGGTGATTTCTCCACCCTGGACTATGTGTTGGAGTATAGGTTGTTGATCTGCCTTCCTTGGAATTGATTCCCCACAAAGTTGCATTGCTCCATAAAATTTCCACCTGCATAATTAAAATCTCCAACACAACAGTCAGAACTAACATGACCTATACCATTACAATACTCACAGATTGGTTGAATAGAATTGTTGATGGCATTGGCCTACATGTTCATGGTGTCCAATTGCTTGATTAAGTTTAAAATTTGAGCCTGTAAGGATGCTATGGAGTCCGCTTCTGATTTGCCTCCCTGTCTTAAGTGGAATCAGCCACTCGGCTGGCCACAAACAATTATTAGCTGCCATTTCCTCTAAGAGATCAAAAGCAGCATCTATAGTTTTCCTCATCAAGGAACCTCCTGCAGCAACATCAATAGTATCTCTAGTGGTGCGAGTGGCTCCATTGTAGAAAGTTTGAATCAAAAGTCCCTTAGGTAAGCCATGGTGAGGGCAACTTCTCTGCAAATCCTTAAATCTTTTCCAAGCCTCATACACTGATTCATTCTCAAATTGCTGAAARGTAGTGATGTCTTTGATGATCTTTGTGGTTTTGGCTGGGGGAAAATACTTAGCCAAGAAAGCCTGTGCCAGCTGTGCCCATGTGGTTATGGAATTTGCTGGTAGAGAATTTAACCACACTTTAGCTTTATCCTTCAAGGTGAAAGAGAAAAGCCTCAGCCTAATAGCATCATCTGAAACTCCATTGTATTTGAAGGTATCACAGATTTCCAAGAAATTTGCAATGTGAGCATTAGGATCTTCATTGCCCATGCCATAAAATTGCACATGCAGTCCAGGCATTAATGTTCGGCCTTGCAATACTCT